AATCTTGAAATGAGAGACACTTTTTAAAGCAAGCTAAAAATCCCAGAAGACATGAAGGAAACAGTGATTTGACAGTGAAAATTAGAAACGTCTGCTGACGTGGTTATAGTTCAGATCGAGAAGGCCCCCACGGGCCTCCTATGCTCCTGGGGTGCAGTTGGAAGCAGACTAAATTACGGAGGTGCTGTGCCTGGCATGCTTCTGGAAGGTGGTCTGATCAGAAGAAGCAGGGCCTGCTGTGTCTCCATCCCTGGCTCCTCCCGTCTCTTCGGCTCCTGGCCACTGCGACGTGAGCAGCTTCCCTCAGGCCTTGCAGTTCTCCTCCGGAGCCAGCCGACCACGGAGCAGAACTTCTCAAACTACCCGCAAAATTAACCGCTCTTCCCTTAGGTAAGATGAGCACTGGGTATTGCATCCCCACCGCAGGAAAGTGACTGAGGCACATAATTCCACTACGAAATCAAAAGTGATGAGTAATCGAAAGGACATATGCAAACCTTACTTGATAGAAGAAGGATTCAATCTGTGGAGGACAAAGAAGTTCTACAAATGCCATTAGAAAACAGTTCAATTAAAAAATGAGCAATAAAAACAAGTGGGCAATTCACAAAAGGGAAAACTCAAATAGTTAAGAAATGTATAGTGCCGGCAATGGGCATGATTGGTTTCTTGTCCCGCTGTAATTCCTGCTGAGTTGCTATGGCACCCAGCCAATATGGCGCTGGAGGTCATGTGGTATGGTGCTGAGTCACTATGGCCTCCAGTCAATATGGCACTGCCCACTAGAGGCCATGTGCTAAGCCCCACTCTTCCTCTGCTGAGTCAAATTATGACTTCCTACTTCCCTTTTTGTAATATCCTGTTCCCTTTTCTCACGCTCCCACCCAATCCTGGTCTGCCACGTCAGGTGGTCCGCCTCCTAAACCCCACCTCCAGCCTGGGGCTATTTAACCTTGGATCCTAGGAAAGAGCATTAGAAGCGCCACGTTTTTCTCTTTCCTTGTGGTCTTCTCCACGTCCACAATAAAGGCATTTTATTCCATTTTACTTGTCTCTGCACTGGAAAAACCTATTAGTGTATGGGGCTAATCAGGTTTTGGGGAAACCTCAACTTTTCTGTTCAGTTTTAAGCTGGCCTAGGGACTAAGGTTTCCCTTCTCTACCCATGTCCAGCTTTCCTGTTACCACTGACTCCCTGTCTCAGTCCCTTTTTGAGATGTAGAGGTTGCTTATGCTCTGATCAGACTGTCTTGCAAATGCCTGGGACTGTTAGGGGAGCTGCGTTCATGGAGGAGATGTTGCAAGTGGATACTTGTGGAGTACTTGGCAGTGATTTCATGTTGCTCTGTCTCCTGGTTTTCTTGGGAGAATGTACTTTCCTCCTTTGACTTAGTGGAGTAGAAGTATACTTTGTGGGAGGGCATTTTCAACCCCCAATTCCCATCTCTCTCTTCCTCTAGCCACCATCCCATCAAGTCTTTGGGAGAGGAAAAAGATGCATTAAATTTTTAATACTATGTTTTTCAAAATAAAACAGACCTTGTACCCCTTAGCTGTCACCTCATCTTCTAACCTCTACCCTCCCACCCTACTCTCCCTGAGCCCTGGACAAGCATTAATCTACATTCTACATGTGTTTATCTGTTCTGAATTCAAATGAGAAATTCTGGTTTCATAAAAACAGAATTACACAAAATTTTGGCTTTGTAACTGGGCTTCTTCCCTTTAACATAATATTTTCCCATAGTGTGGATCAATACCTCATATTTTATTATGCCAAGGGATATTCCTTTGCATGGGTATCAGACCATATTTTATTTGTCCAGTCATCAGGTGATGGGTATTTGGGATACTTCTACTCTCTGACTACAATGAATACTGTTGCTGTTAACATTCTTGTCCATGTTTTGTCTGGACATGTTTCATTTCTTTTAGGTATATATACCTAGGAATAGAGTTTTCTTGTCATATGGCAAATTTATACCTAGCCTTTTGAGGAAATGTCAGACTGTTTCTAAAGTGGCTGCAATCATAAAATTTTAGCTTCAGTTAGTATATAAATTGTAGAACACATAGATTATTAGAGATGTTTGGGGGAGTTAAGTGACTTAAATTCAAGAAGCTAATTAGTGAGAAATAACTAAATTTTGATCTTTCTATTTAATATTATTACTTTTATCTTTTTATTTCTTTGACCATCTTGTCTTATACATTTTTTATTTCTTTATGTGTGCATTCACACATATACATTAGTGTCCATTAATGAAATTATAAACATGCTACTTTTAGTTCATACATTTTTAGGTTTTCTTCTTTTCCTTTTTTGTGATTATTTTCTTCCTGCTTTTTGCATTACCTTTATGCCCTCTTCAAATGACTAACAATCTAATTAATATTCTCTCATAATTTCTCTATGACAATATAATCCTATACACATATGAAATTCCTTCCAGATCAACCAGTCTACCTTTATGTCACTACTTAAAATTCCTTCATAATACTCAATAATGCAAATATTTTTAAATTTATTGAGCCAGTTGGTTAAGTAGTCACTCACTGTTTCAGGTTCTTAATTTAGTGTGATGATGGACAACACTACTGTTAACATCCTTGGTATTCAACAAGCTACTGGCACTGACCTCGCCTAAGTGTGTTTTAGATATGCAGAGTCTCAAGTTCCATCCCAACCCGCTGAATCAGAGTCTGAGTTTTCACAAGATCCCCGGGAAATTTATACTGACATTGAAGAGTTAGTACTGACCTTGACAAAGGACATTGCTACTAGTGCTATAGTTTCTATTATCAGAATGCAGTGAAATTCTGGGGTTAACAATGTACATACTTCTAATTTTAATAGATGCTTTAGCAGACTGCTTCTCCTAAAGCCCGCAGCACTTCTTTGGATTTCTGCTGGCAGTGGTTAAGAATACCCTTCTATCCATATTTCTATTAGTACTGAGTACTGATACTAAGATAGGAAAGTTGCCAAGACAGGAGCGTTTAGATTTTAGTTGAATTTTTTTCCATGCAGCTGAACAAACTGGTCCTAGGATAGTAGGATTAAATAGTCCCAGGTTTGGATTTCCAGGGAAAATGATTGAAAGAACAAAAAAGAAAACGTAAAGAGAATAAGAATGGAACTACTTTAATGGAAAAAATTTCTTCACTTTCTTGAATTTTCTCTTACTCATCTTTCTTGTCTTCTTCAAATGTTAAACACTTTCATGTTTCCTGGGCAGGGAGTATAACACAGTAAAGCTTTACAGAAGGTCTGCTTCATCTAAAAAAGAATCGGAAATTGTAACTTAAAACAACATACCACATTTCACCCATAAGATTGGCAGATTAAGATTGGCAGATTTTAAAATATTAACAATATCCAAACTCATAAGTTGTGCTGAGAGTAACAATAAATAATGCACCATTAGGGAACAATACAGCAGTATATATGTACTTTATGACTCAGAAAGAGAGGAATCTGTCATACAGAAATAGTCACCAACAAGAAATAAAACCTATTAATGGATGTCTGTTGAAAAATTTGAAACCACTTCAGTATCCATCAGTAGAGGCACAAATTAGCATATTGTGGTGTATGGATGATGCTGATGGCTAATATGCAAAGCTCTACAGGGACACTGCTAAGCAGAAGACTAAAAACATCTCAGAGCAAAATATTTCCTACAGCCCACTTCTAGAAGCAGTAACCATGGTTAGCAGTAACCATAACTATGTATATGTGCATACATATAAGCGCACACGTCTAAGAAATAAAATAATGCATGCACCAAATCACTGGCAGCAATTACGTGTGCACATACATGAGTAAGGTGGCTGGAGTGGTGGTGAAGGGATAGCATACATACTAGTTCCTAAGTAGCAACAATAACGCTTAACATTTGCAGAACTCCCACCATGTGTCCGCTGATGTGCTAAAAGTCCTACATGACTTATCTTACTTGAACTTCACAATCACATTTTGAGGTAAAATATTATTACCTTAATTTTGCCATTAAGTTAACTGAGTTACAAATAGGTGGAGTAATTCAGGAATAGGTGAGATGACATAATCAGAAAATTTTAGAGCTCAGAAGCTTGCTCAGAACCTTGATGTTATCTGCCTATGTATCTATCTATCATCTATCTTTTGCTCTTCTTTCTTTGTTTCTTTCTTCCTTTCTTTCCTCTCTCTTTCTCTCTCTCCTCCCCTTTCATAGTTTCTTAGGAAAAAATTAACCAGCTTTTCATTTCCTTTATTGAGGTACAATGTAATGTTTGAAAATACACTAAGTTCTTCAAGTAGCACAAAAGAGAGACGATTTTATTTTTTTCTGGTTCTGTGCCAGTGTGATGAAGGTTGTCTCATGTCACAACACTTGTGGTGGATGATGGTCTCATTGTAGATCTCCAGCTGGAATAGCAAATGCTAAAAATGGAATCCATGCCTCCAGCTTGCCACTGATCCACAGAACTGAAGCATTTCATAGTGAGAAGACCTCGCAATCCTCTCCGTTATTTTCCTAATGAAGAAACAGAATCAGGAGGATATTAGTGGCAGAACTGGTGTTAAAATGAAAGTTTCTCACTCCCAGGCCAATGTGCTTTCCACTAAATCATGATCTGGGGTTGTGTCACTTATGACACACAAATGCTTCCTGTAGGGTGTAATCAGGCAGATGGGCAGAGTGTGGACTTGTTCCTGTCTCTGAAGACCCTCACATTTGTGTATCTTTATCTATTAAAAAAAGCCAGGTTTTGGACAACCAAAACATTGAGTAGATGTTTTACCTGTCAACCTTAAGGTTTGGTTATTACACCTTTCTTAACAAGAAGCAGAAAAGAAAATGGTGGAGGTCCAATTTAATTCCCAAGAGTTAGATTAGACTGTGTAAATCAGCTAGCTGGTAAATTAGCTAGTTATGTAAATCGGCGAGTTGGGGCTCCCTCCACTCTTCTAATTCTAAGGTCTCTATCCTGTAAATCAGAAAAGCAGCTTGCCCGTGCGCTTGGGCGATGGTGTCATCAGACAGCAGCGGGAGTGAAATGAGTCATGTGCAGAGGACAGAGGAAGACCGATGCGCTGCAGTGATGGCCTGGGCCATCGAGCCGGGCAGGATGTCGCTGTCCGCTGAGCTCATGTGTAGGTGACTTCCCCCTGACAGAAAAAAGATCAAGGGTCAGGAAACATGTGGACCCTGAGGAGGGCAGAGAAAGTAAAATCTAAACCACTTTTCCTGATTTTATTCAGGCCAAACGGAAGGCAAAGGGCTGTGTCAACCAGCTTTCCCTGAGCTGATGTGTCCGAGACCCTTTACAGCCTCTCCCACTGATCTCCAGAGCCCAGACCAAGTTCCTGCATCCAGCTGCCAGGCTCAGGGCCCTTCAGCATGGAGAAGAAAGCCGTGTGGAAGTCTAGGGCTCCCAGGTCTTGCTTGAGGCGAGCAGCTGGCACACAGCACCATAGCAACATTTTCCCACTTTGTAAACCTTTAGCTTCGCACAATTTTTTTTTTTTTTTTTGGGTACCAGGAGTTGAACTCAGGACCTTGCACTTGCCAGGCAGGCGCTTATGCCACTGAGCTATATCCCCAGCTCACCCACAATTTTTTTTTAACAGTTTCATAAGTTCTGTGATTGTTTCAGTTTTTAAAATCAAGATTATGAGGCACTGAACTATTTCTTAGCACCAAAAAGTAAAAATATTCATCCATCTACTGCTTGAGGAAAATGTGGTTTTCTATGAGGCCTTGACCAATAAGATTAAACAAAAATAATCTATGCATAATGACCATTCTTCATGCCCAAGGTTGATTTTTTTATGACCTGGTATCAATAGCCGGTCTCACTTTGAATTCTTCGGATTTGATGGTAAAGCAGAGTTTCTGACAAAAATGTACATAACACATACATACATGTATATTAATTAAACTAATTAAAAAATATAACTGTAATATATATTTAAAAATAGATGCCAGCACAGAAAACAATAAAAAATAAGCCAATTGCCAATCCTATAAATATCAGCATTGTGAACAATTTCTCAAATTGCCTCTTCAAATTGGTTTGTGCCCGAAGTATATGTAGTAGATGCCCTCTTGTGTTTTAACTAAGTGGGATCATATAAAAGATTATTTATGATCAATGTACTTTTCCCTAATAGCAATGTATTTAACTCCTCTCTGTTGGTAGGTATTAAGATGGCTTTTACTTTCTAATGATCTAATTTTGCATGAATATCCTCGTACAGGCAACTTGGTAAACTTGTGCATGTATATTTTCAAATCCTTACATTTTGGTGCTTGTTACTCAACTATAGTAAAAATTTTGAAAACTGGAAACAACCTGAATACAAAGATAAAGGAGGCTGAGATATCCTTAGAGTGACCCTTTTCAGTCCTTATCCTTGACTGCAATAGATAATTGAAAACTAACTGTAAGAAAAGAAAGAAACAGAAAAACAAGATATTTAGGATCTTTAGATATGACTTTTCTATTTAGTTTTTAGCAGAGTTGTGAGTTGGTAATTTTCATCCTGGTAGAACTATTTAAAAGAAAAAAACCTGAAGAAAATTAGATCACTTAAAACAAAAGACGTAATCAAGAAATGAGCAACTGAAATAAACAATCACTTGAAAGAAATGCAAATGGCCAACAAATATATGAAAAAATGCTCAACATTCCTGGTTATTAGAGAAATAAAATTAAAACAATGCTAAGATTGCATCTTACACCAGAGACAATGGCATCCATCAAGAAACCAAAAAGTAACAGATGCTGCTGAGGCCTCAGTGAAAAACGCAACCATCCTGCATCGCTGGTGGGAACGTGAACTAGTACAACTAGGAATCAGATGCACAAGTGTAGATACTGTATAGCATCTTTGTTTGAATAAGGGAAAGTCCGAACAAGTATCATAGTAAAGGGTGGGTAGAAGGAGACAGATCTCTTGCAAATGAAAAGGGATCCAAGAGAATGTGGGAGACACGAAGGGGAAATAAGTCGAATAAGATACGTCAGGTCCAGGAATCTAACAACCTCACTGAATGGAAACACGATATGGCATAAACGTGGGGTGATAATATCAACAAGAGCAAAAATGGGGAAAGAGGATTTAGGGGGAGCAGGAGAGAAGGGGAACGGGATTGAAAAAGAACCAAGCTGTATTATGCCCATGTACCCACTCCCCAAGATGGCTGCAAACTGCCTGCGCTACAAACATTTCCTAATAGAAAGATAAAAGAAACTACTGTAATTTCATTGATCACAAAATCAACTTTTTTTTTCTTTTTGAGAGCTCAGACCCCGGAGGTCTCTTGCCACCTCCAGCTCTTGGTTATTATTCCTTTAAAGGGGGCCTATGACGCTTACTCCTTGCTCAGTAAATGTGGCATCTAGGTTTGCATGTTTACTGCATAAACTTATGAGCCACTTCAGGGCAAGTTGTACACCTTCTCTGCATGCTTTTTATCACCTGTGCAACAATACAGACTACTTTAGAAATGACAAATGAGTTATTAGTCACTTTATGAACAGATTTCCCTAGACTCAAGAGCCTTACTTTATTTTCTAATTAGCACTGATAAATAAATACGAAAAAATATGTTTTCTCATAGCTCCTTCCTGAGGTAGACCAATGCTTGGCATGCTGAATGAATTTCCCAGGCTGTGTTTGCAGGGCCCGGGTGGACCAAACATGCCATGGTGGTGGACAATGACCGTGAACTTTTGTTTTGTTTCCTTTCACAGTTCAGCTGGCACACAGATATGAACAGATGTTGAGAAGGGCAAGGAGGTACCTGGTGCCAGTGCCTCAGTTCTGGGAAAAGGAAACACTTCACAGAGAATAGGTCCCACCTGGAGAGAGTTGCCGTTTGCCAAGCGAAACCAGCTTGGCTAAACATAGCTAAAAAGCCATTCCCTGGGGTATAAGGTAATGTTTGTTTGTACATGGCTCTGAGTGAGGGTGTGTGTGTCCAGCTATGTGTTCACTTCAGGCACGTTCCATACCAAGGAAGCCTTGGACCTATTCATGAATCTATTTGCTGAAAGAACAATTTTTGTTTAATATTTGACTTGTTGAGAAGGGCAGAACTGTTAATAAGTTTTTAACAGGCATAGAAGAAATAATTTTTAATTTCCTTCTGTTTTCAGTGTTTCCATGGGGATCAAAGGGTTTGGGAGTTTTGAAGAACTACGCAACTCTGCACAATGATAAATATTACATCTTCCTCCTAGCCGAATTCGGTTGTATTTGAGGGGATTAGTTATTCTCAAGTCCATTAGGAGGAGGGGTGAGGCTGGGCGGGCATCCGAATGGTCTCTCTCTGAGGGACCCCCACCCTTTGTGTGTTGCACCATTGTTTGAGGGTACCCAACACATATGGTAGGGAGATAGAACGGGTGTAAGCCAGAATAAACCCACGGTCCTTGATATTAAAATTGTCCATTGAGTATGACTACAGAGTGAAAATAAAACCTCAAAAGCTCCGTGCCATTTGTGAAACTGAATGGCCAAATCTTTGTCCCGATGGGCCATCTGAAGGGACACTTGATGTTAAAATTGCCCATTGAGTTTGGGATACAGTGACAGAGCCCCCTGAATGAGGCCATCCTGAAGAGTTTCCTTATATTGACTCCAGGCTCAACCTGTGTTAGAGCCTCTCACTGTGGCTCTGCACTTGTGCCCTGCATCTCAAGAAAAAAAAAGAAAAGAAAAAGAGGCCCATTCCTCCTGAGAATTCCACCTTCCCACCCTCGTCAGCCACTGCAGTTGCTGCCAGCACCTGTAGCTTCACTGCCCTTTTCCAACACATCTACTTCCAACCAACTGAACTGGTTCCGGCTAGCCACTGCCTGCATTCAGCCACAGAGGCGCCCCCCAGTCACGCCTATCCTGGTTCGATGGCATCATCTAACGCCCACCCGAGACGACTGTCAGCAATTCCCTCTGAGTTCCACATTTTGACTGAGGAAAACTGGACTGTCAGCCCTGACGAGTGAGTTGCAATGGCCTTTCCAAAGGTCACCTGGCCTAGAAACAGCCCAGTCAGGTGTGTCTCAAAGACATCAAAGAGGGGGCAAAACGCCCAACAGAATGTCAAAAGTTACTACTGTTGCCCAGAAGCTGATATAAGGACTATGGACACTAAAAAATAAATACCCATTCAGATCAAAATATAAGAACTTTCAAAAGCTTCAGTCTGGATCAGACAACAGCCCTTTCATTGGTCAGACTGGGCTCCCTTCTTCAGCACCTTCATGGGGGCAGCTAGGACTCTTGCCTCTCACCCCTTCTGCCAGGACAAACCTGCAGTCTGGGAGGACATCTCCTGTGTAAGTCAGTCCCCATACCGCTTCTGGGAAAAGACCTCTCAAGTTAGAAGTGACCGTCTCCTCTGCACCAAGCCAGTCAGCGTCCCTCTCATTTAACCCTGCGCTTTCAACTCTGTTTCCTGAGAGGAAGATGATGCCTGCATCCGCCTGAGACATGACCAGGATCCTAAAATTCTGAAAACGCTCCTCCCAGAGATGCGAACTAGACTCGCCTCTGGGCCTGGCTATCAGCCATGCCACCTCCACTGCGACGCCTACTGCTGTCAGACGTCATGGAAAGCAGACAGGCGTCCAGCCGCACATCAGCCTGGTAGACTGTTAATCACCTTGGGCAAGATCTCCGTGCTCTCAGCAATGTGGCCATCACTGCACATTCTGCGGTTCCCGATCCGTGCACCCTTTTTGGACTGTTACTCACTTGCCACAAAGGTTTGGGAACTCTCCCACTATTTGGGGGGAGGCTCTAGCAACAGCTTTGGCTCGCGGACAGCCTGTTTTTCTGTCCCTTCCAGCTCCATCATGGTCCCCTGAAGAAGAAAAAAAATGAGGCTTCAAAACTGTGAAATGTCTATAGACTGTCAAACTGCCAAAGTACACCTCTCCTGCGTGTAAAGCCAGTTCAAGATCTCCGAGCTGCCGATGCTTCTGTGATTACCCTCCGTATACATTGCTTCAGTGTTCTGGCACCCACAGCCTGCCGGCCCACCTGCCTGGACCTAAACAGTGCTTTCTTCTGCCTTCAGTTGGCTCTTGTCAGCCAGCCGCTCTTTACAAAGACCCCAGTTCTGCACTCAAATGTTAATTGACCTGGGCTCAGCCTTCCAGAAGTTCACTAACTTGTTTACCCTCTTTGGAGTTCAGGAACAAAAACCAAATTGCACGTGAAACACTTGAAAGAATCAACAACTGGGATCTCATTCTACTGAAAAGCCTCTGCACATCTAAAGAAATCACCAGCAGAGTAAAAAGAAAACCACAAACTTGGAAAAAATTTTTTAGCTGACTGTCCCTCAGACAAAGGGCGTCTATCTAGAACATATAAAGAATTAAAATATCAGCCCTCCCAAATTCAAAGGCCTAATCCAAAAATGGGCAGCTGAGATGAACACACACTTCTCAGA